CTTGTCTTTTCCTGGGATCCTTCTCCCTTCTCTTATTCTTTTGTCATAACAAGCCAACCTAGCTTAGAGCCTGACATCTCAGCCAGTCGTCTTTAACGACACTTTATGTAGCAATCAGAAATTACTTACCAGATCTTACCAAGGGACTGCCTACCTTTTACACTAAGTTAGTTTATCTACATTAAGATGGTAAAGGGTACTAATGTCTTAATGCATTAGCTCTTTCAGGTAACAACTTCAAATTTTTTGTAAGCATCCCTGTGATCTTCAGTCACAGGAAAAAAAAATAGTTTTAGTGAATGAGAATTTTAGCAAACCATAGAAAGGCATTTGAGCATTTTGTTGGGTGCCTCTGAAATTACACAACTGAGTCACTAGCCTGCTTTGCTGAAACAATGCTGACCCCAGACTAGGGGTTATTGAGGAATTTATAATTTTGAATCCAAAGTGCCATGTTTTATCCAATATAGAGTGCCATTTATATATGTTTACAAGATATTTTGTAAGTAAGGATAAATTCTTTTTGATTAAAAAAGATTAAACTATGACCAACTTAATTAGAATTTAAATTTTATACTAGTTGAATGAGATATTTTAGACTTATTAGGCAAAGATCCTTATTGTATATAAATAACAGTATTATGTTTGCATAAAAAAGAATAAATAATAGGTGAAATAAATTGGCTAATGTATTTTAAAGACTTTTCCATTCCAAGTTCTACTTTTCCTAACCACTTTCAACTTTGAATCATTGATATTTTTGTTTCTTACACAATATTTTCCTTTATGCCTTTACAAGTGTTGGTGACATAGCATTGCTTAAAAGGGTGTTCCACTTTGGTCTACAGGACTTTCTTCTAAGCTTTTGAAACTGTTCACAAGCAATGACAACTTCATTATAAGTGCTTCTAATACCAGCAAAGGTGCATCCTGATGTCAAAGATGTTAAAGTATCAAAAATATATATGTCTTAGAATTGATATATTATGAAGTAATTATGATTATTAGAGATAAATATTGTATTTTCAACATGTGAAGCTAAAATGAGAAATGATTGTAACATTTCACACTTGTGTATAACTTTATAGTCATCAAAACACATTTTCATACACATTATTTGATTAAAACTTCATCCTTGAACCAAGATTAGAAAGAGCATCATTTTCTCTGGTGGAAGATGATTTTTTAAAAATCAGTAGATCAGTGTTATTATCCTGAAAAAGAATATATTCACACATATATTCTTTTTCATTTCATTTGCTAGCTGTGGCAGAGACTCCATGTCCCCCAAAATTCATTCTGCTCTTCTCCTTAGGCACAGAGTCTAAACACAACAAATTTAAAGAGATATTGGCTTTGTTTTCTATGGTTTGGACTTCTTTGCATTTATGGATTACAATTCTTTGAATATCAAAAATAACTATGTGAGCCATTATTAGATGGTAATGCTGAAGACAAATTGTTAAAAACCTCTCAAAGTCATTAGTAGGGACAACAAAAACTCGGAGTATACTGGGAAAACATAAGACAAAAATAACAGAATATTCTGCAGGCATTATATCATATTTTCTGCTAAGTCATTTGTGAGCATTTCATACCAGTTTTGGTGCTTTTAAAATACTGTATCTATAGACAGGTGGCAGGTATATGTTACTGGACTATAGAAAGTTTTCAGAAAAGAATAACAGTGAGAAATACGAAAGTAATTTGAAGGTATCATTAAAGGAACACACATGGTTATCTCTAAAAAAGCTTAAATTCTATGGATTGTTAGGTTAAGATATAACTGAATTGCTTGGGGGAATCATAAGAGTCACTATTATATTGAGAGTACTAACGAATGTGTTGATATTTTCAATGTCTTGATATATTCCCTTAAAACAAGGGAAGGGTGAGAAATGATCATGGTACAGAGATAAGTGTCACCTTCTTTGCCACTCCTCTTATTTAAAATACCGTTCTGCTTCCATGGAAGATCTTAAAAGAATGATCTCAAGCTCAAGCCTCCTGTCCTTCCCTAGTTTGCTGCTCCCTACTTCTTACTCCTTTCACCATTTCTCTTTCCTGAGAAAATGGAGGAAAATGGAATGCATGTAAAGCCTGGGGGGTTATATGTTACTTACTTTGCTGTAAGCTCATTGAACATTAATTTCTTTGACTTAAAAGATTGTTTTATTTCTTTGGACTTTGGGAAGCTTTATAGCTCATCTATTTAGGCCTTCAAAGCATGGTACTTTCTGTTTACTGTTTAATAAATTATTGTATCCTGGGTTATATGCTGCCTTGGTCTCTAAAGAGATGTGTGGAGGGAGGAGGAATGAAAGGAGGGAGAATAAGGTCAGGGGAATCTAGGGGAATATGAAGAGGACCGATAGTGCCTGAATCTGTGGAATTCTAGGCTCAGAGCTTTGCTTGGTGCTGTTTCCTTCCCTCCAGCGTGACTGTTAGTAAGAGAAGGTTAGTAAAGGCAGCCTAGAAATAGACTTTAATAATAATAATATAATAACTATAATATGCCAGATAATTTCTAATATAGAAGATTTTTACCTTAGAAATATATATCATTGTGAATCATAAAAGCTGTGCACACCATTACCGTCACATTATTATAGATGAGGACAGACACAGAGAGGTGAGTAATTTGTGATCAGTAGTTTCAAATAGAATATTTGGAAACTCTCTACATGTATTATACTGCTAATTTTTAATAATCCACAATACATAATGTTTATCATTACCATAAAAACATAATTTCTTAACAAAGTCTTTCCCCATTCATATTTCTTTTCAATTCAATCACCCACTCCTATGAATTAAATAATGTTAATGACTACTACAGAATCTTCTGATACTCCTAAATGCCTTTAAGTGATAATCTGGAGAATACAGGCTGACCTAGAATGAATACATTCCAGAGTTATCTTTTCTACCATCACATGTGTGTCTGTCTGCCTGTTGTACTGCACAAATATTCAGCTTATCCTGTGTGATGGGAGGAGGCAGAATGTCCCTGCGGAGGCTGCTGTGTGGGGAGAGAAAGGACCGGTGTGGTAAGGCCCTCTAAAGGCATCCATCCGCTTAAGCCTCTGACCAGATTTGGTAAGCTGGTTTTACCTGCTTACCGTGGGCACATGAAAGACACCATTTAAACAATCCCTGGGTGGGTACAGTGGATACAAGTCCTACATTGTGACTCCCATGTAGCTTTGAGCTATTCTCTTAGTAACAGCTCAGCTTACCCTCTGAAGTATTGAGACACACCCCAGGTACAAGAATGAGGCCACAGAAAGGTCAATTCTTACGCTCCACTCTTCCAAAGTCTGCAGATGGATCCCAGCTTTACCTTCCCCCGTGAGTGAATGACTTGAAGAAAGGGGGAGAAGGAGGAGGAAGAGAAGGATGAAGAGGTAGGGAGGAGGAGAAGGAAGGGAGGAAGGAAGAAAGGAGGAGGAAATCCACTTGACCTTGAAGAGACTGGACCTCCAGTGCCAGGATATTGGGAAGACATATATTCCGGAGTGCTCATTTTATTTCTGGTAGTAAATAAAGCTCTTAAGAAAGGTTATTAATTTATCTGGCCTATTTAGTATATTAAATTACACTATTTTATACTCTAGTGGCCTGAAAAAGTTAATTTGCCATTTGAATGGCATAAATGATGAACACTTACTGAAGAAGGGAAGTCCTGGCACTTTACAATATTTGACAGATATTGAACATTTTTAGCTTTGGTGTGCTTTAGTTTTTATTAATATCTATGGAAAAGGAAAATATAAAAAGCAACATTCTGCTGGGGATAGCAGGGTAACTGCTGACTAGGGTGCCATTTCAGAGTGAAAGATACCTTAACAGAGGGTCTGATCCTGAGGCAAAGAGAGAATATTGGAAAAGAAAAGGGAGGGAGGAAAATGATGCCACTCCCTCAGCTTCCTGGGTTCCTGTCCTTTTATTGGGGGTACAGTAACTTTTTATCCCACAATCTTGGACTTCTTTAATTCCCATCCCTGATTTCTCTCAGTGCTTTATGAGCTGTTATATGGAGGCTTGAATGGGATTCTAAAAATTAACATCTGATTCTGATTCCTCTGGATATATTGATTGCCTGGGGCACTAAAATAATGCAAACTGGTTTTGAAATGAAAAGTCATTTGTGGCAGAAAAGTGCATAATAATTCGTTTAGTTTAAACAATGGGGAGGAAGGGACATGCATCTGAACTTCATTTCTGTGTAAATGAATGCTTATTGGACTATTGAAAGCTGTAGAAATACAACTTCTGTACTTGAGGGGGCATGATTACACACATTGATCTTGCAGGAGGAATATAGATCAGCATGGAAACAGCTGTACCCTTTAGTTATTTGGGAGGCAAATGGTATTAATCACATAAGATAACATGGGATGCTGCTTTCTTTCTTTGGAAGCTGAGGACGCCTTTGTGTTCCAGAAAATGCTTGGTGCAGAACCATCATATTCCACCTCTCCATAAACGGGAGGTGTGATAAAGGAGAGAGAGAGTTTGGCAAGCCAAGGCCAAAAGCATTCTTGTTATTTCTACAGATCCAATAGAGTCAATGAATTAAATTAAATAAATAAATGTAAATATAATGAACAACTGAGTAAATGGATAAATAAAATACAAATGAAATTTCTAGCGTAGCTCTTGGTGAGCCAAAACTCCCAGATATTCGAAAAATTATGTAAAACAAAGGCTGTAAATTGTCAAACGCCTGAAGTTAACCGCAGAGACTGCTGGCTCTGGTCCCTCCAAGACACTAGTCATTGACTGAAAGGAGGGAAGTTAGGATTCCAGAGCACGCCTTGGGTCTCCGCTTGCTCCTCAGTGGGTTCCAGGAGTTTAGCGCAGGCTGCAGCCCCAGGACAGGCGTCACCCCTGCACGTGCATTCTCTCTGCTCCCTGCCTACCTTGTTTACTCCCCAATGGGGAGGCAAAGGAAGAGTCAGGTGAGACCCAGCAGGGGGAGTGGGTGAGCTGGCCTGAGGGCAGCCAGAATGTGTCCTTGAGTGTGGGTGTGCGTGTAGGGTAATTTGGGTGGGAACAACGTGGAAGCTACCACCACGAAGTCCTGCGCCTTGCTGGTGGGGTGTGTGCAGAAATTCCTGGGATAAATAGGAGGCTCCCTCCTCCCAGCGACACTCACGGAGCCGGCTACCCGCCCTGGGTGTTTGTCTGCCCCGTGGCCAGGGTGCCAGCTTGAGGAGTAGTTTCGTTTCCTGCTGGCTCGGGGATTGGTTTCCAGGCACTCCCTGGGGCGCCGGTGGCCCGGGCAGGGGGCGCAGGAGTTGGCGGGAGACTCGTCGGGGGGCTGCCCGGCCTCGCGGTGTGGGGTTCATGGACCGGGCCGCCCCGGGCAGCGGCGCCAGCTCCCTGCCACTGCTCCTGGCCCTCGCCCTGGGTAAGTGGCCGCGACGGTCCCGGAGACCCAGGAGGAAAGTCTCGCGGAGGGAGTCGCCGGGAGGGAGAACCCTGATCCGCTCTGACATCTGGACCCGAGGGCGCACTGGGGCTGTTAGGGGCGGGTCTCAGAACTTGAACAACAAGGAGCCGGCAAGGTTAAGAATCTGGCAGTGGGCACTGGGGCTGCACCTGTTGGGGCTGTCCTTGGGCGCGTCGGGCAGCCCGAGGGCGGAAGGGATCCCGCGAGCCCCGCTGGGGGTGCTGCCAACGTGGGCACGGAGAGGGGCCCTAGCCCGGGGCACAGGGCGCGCGTGCCCGTGGGGCGGTGGGGGCGTCGTGTCCGCGCGTGGGGCGGGGGGTGAGAAGGAAATCCTCCAAAGGGGGAGCCTGGAAGGCGGATGAGAAAGAGAACTCCTTGGCTTAAGATGCAGGCCGGGCCAGGAGTGTACAGCAAGGTGGAGGGCAATTTGCCAGGTGTGCGTATGTCCTGGGCGTGTGCGAGAGGTAGGAGGGGGCGACTCCTGGAGAGAAGAGGTGGCTGTGGCTGGGAATGAATTGTGCTTGCCTCTTGCTGGGCCGTTTGGGAGGAGCTGTCGATGCAAAGAAGCACTTCTGAGACCTGAATCTCTTTTTGCTGATAGGGAAGTGAAGGAAAGGGAAAGGACATCTTTTACAGAGGGCTAGTAGAGAAGTACATAGATGCTTTTCTTGGAATACAGTTTTTCCTGTCTTAAGGGGAAATTGCTGGAGGGAAAACTTCCTTTCACTTAGAAGGTTAAAGTTGGGTTACAAGCTGAAGGACCACTGGATGTGGTCAATGGAGGGAAAGAAGAGTGACCAGTGAGAGGAGGAGCAGGATGCCTGGACTGCTAGAGGCTCTCCTCACCTTTCCGGGAGTCAGCGCTGGCAGAGGGGGTACTGGCACTGCAGGTGCTCAGAAATTTTGTGCAGCTGGAGGCAAGGCACCCTTTCCCCTCCAGGGTGGGGAGGTAGCAGGAAGGCTTTAGGTGGGAAAATCCAACCACACAAGGCATCCTCTCAGCGTCAGGTCATTTTGAGGTGGGTGAAGGGTAGGAGTAGCAATATTTTGTGGTCTTAGCCTGGGGTGAGGGGTAGAACTGCTCCTGGGCTTTGGGCATTAGTGTAGGAGAAAGAAGTCTCCATGGCTTAAGTGTCTACATGCCATTGCTCCTGCCTCCAAGCTCGGGAAGTGCTGGGATTTCTTTTATGAAAGGAATAGAGGTGGAATCTAAATGGAAACCTTCATTTGGCTGTGTCTTTGGAGTAAATGGTTTGGCTAAAAAGGTGTTGGAATCTTGGTTGGAAGTGGATCAGACTTACAACCATAGTTGGAAAGAAAGGAGTGGGTTAACAAAAGCAGCAGAGGAAGTGGTCAGAAACAACTTAGCAGTGCACTGATGTGGGGCCCGAAGAGGAGCAATGGGCCTGAGAGTTAGACCCAGAAACAATTCTTTCATCGCTTTTGCCTGCATCACTTGGATGAAGCAGGCATTCTCTTCCTCCACCTTGTCTGGATTGCCCAACAAGGTATTTACTCAGAATCTGCTACAGTCAGCAAGATGATAGAGTATATGGGAATGGAGGTGGAAAGAGGGCTCATAAGATTCCTAAGATGTGATTCCTACCCTAAAAGTTGTTCTGTTTGGGAACACATACCAGGTGTAAAAAAATAAAAGAAAAATGCATGAAACCAGAGAAGAAAGAGTTCAATAGTGAGGGACAGAGTAGTAGGGAACAGCTTCATGGAGGACAGGAGTGACTTGAAGCTTGGGTAGGATTTGGAATAGTAGGGAAGAGTAGCCAACGATAGACAAGGGGAAAAGCATTTAATGAAGAGTTGGAATGGGAATAAGATTGTTTTACTGGAAAGATAGGCAGTCAGCCTGCAGAAAGTAGAATTTATGACAGGCTGATAGATTATGAAAAGCCTCAAATGCCAGATTAAAATACTTGGACATGAATCAATAAATAGTTAAACCCACACTATTTAGGTCTTGAATATGAGAGAGATGTAATGCAAACAATGACTTAAGGAGATAAATCTGGCAGTAAGGTGCAGTGTGGGAGGAGAAGGGAGGAAGTGGACCTGAGTTCCTTGGCTGTCTTGTAGGTATAATCCAGGCATGAGCTAATTAGGGCTCAGTAGAGTGACTGGCCAGAAGAAATGTTTATTCCAGGTTGATGGGCATTCTTCTTCCTTTATTATTACACAGTGCTTTATTTTTTCCTCAAAACTTGTTAAAAGGCAGAAATGAAAAAACAAAACAAAACAAAACTCTAACCCAGTGCTATTGTATACTCAGGGTAACCTAAATGAACAACTGCCCTGTTGAATATTTAGCTTAGGGAATTAGGGAATTAAATGCAGTCTCTGGATCCGCTAAGAGCTCCATTCCTTCCAGGATGGAATTTGTTGGCATCCGTGTTTTATAAAGTGGTCTTATTTCTCTCATACACACAACTTTTAAGTCTCATTCCTAATTTAAGTCACATGTTATTTTGTTTACTTTTGGAAAAGAATATGAGCAATTAGCTGTGTGATGGACCAGCATGTGTGTGTGTGGATATGTATGTGTGTGTGACAGTGAAGTGTGTTGAGAACTGGCCCTGAGCAGACATTGTGACTCTGAGATGTCTATAAATGACAACTTTCTGGGCATTGCTTTTTGCATTTGTCAAATGAAGGGGTTGCTTTAGATGAGACTAAGGTCCTTATCAACTTGACATTGAAATGATCTTCAACCAACATTATTTTGGAAAGTTCAAGAGAAGATCTTTTTACAACAGTATTTAGCTTCATTTATTTTGCAATGAGATCTTTGTTTCATGCAAACTCTCTCAGACAGAATCATGGGTGCTTGTTTCTTTGAGAAGTATGGTGAAGGGGCAGTAACTTTGTTTAAAGTATTTTTTTAATCTTGAAGAAATTGGGTTCCCTTTGAGTTATGTTTTTTCAATTTCTCCCCTTCATCCAATTGCTATATAAAACTAAAGCTGAAATCATAACCAGTGGAAAAGATAAAAATGTTACCTTTTTAACAATGAGTGAGTTTTAAGATTAAAAACATACTTCTTTCCTTATTAAAATCTCATACATTAATGTTTATAAGTTGGTCTTAAGTTCTCCTTGAGGATATGAATGTATTACGGATGTAAATTCTAGCTTTCAAGTTATAAAGCAGGTAAGTGGAAGCAAGTAAAATTCCCAGTGTACAGATGAAATACCAGAAGCTGCCAACAATGAAAGGCTCTGGGATTTGCCTCTTTCATTGTAGTTTTGGCTTAGAGGAACATTTGGAATTTCTTTTTTTTTCCTCTTCAAAATCCTGGATTTCACAGGCCACACTTGCACAGTAACAACTATTACAAATCAATTTTTGCTATTGTTCCATTCATTCTTAGTTGTGTGGAAATTCCCCCAAATTCTGGAAGACCCCAGTACTGCCAACATGCTTTGCTGTGTCCACTGAAGGTGCCCCTGCTGATGCTTGGCTTGCTGAGTTCTCTGCTCAAGTTGAAGGTACAGAGGTTGCAGAGTATCTGTCTGTCCCAGAGGCCATTGCCCCTGGTCCCAGTTCTGTCTCAGCTGGCACTGCTCAGCCAGCACTCCTGTGCTTCTCACATCTTCAGAAAGCCCAGTAGGAAAACCTCATCTTGCCTTTTTCTCTCCCTTTTCTTGTAGCCAGCTCATGCCAGGACATAGACGCAAGTGTCACTGGGAAGCTGGGTCAGGAATCAGGCAGAGGGATAGGCACCGAGCTGTAACCCAGTCACCCCTCTGATCCATTAATTATGCTTAGAAGCTTCTCCATTAAGATCAGCACCTTCCCAGGAGGGTCCAGACAAGCCAGAATCCAGGCTGCATGCAGTTTAGGCCTAAGCCATGATCCTGATGCACTTCCAAAACTGCTGTAACAGACCCTTGGACCCACAAAGAAGCCACATCCCAGCTGGCCAGGAGGCTCCAAAGTAAAACGTAAAAGGAAAGCAGTATGATTAAAATGGGTGTGCTCTGTACTGCTAATGATGGCTAGGTTTCTCAGGCATATTTGTATCTCAAAACAGGAATCTTGGGAGCTTGAATCTCTAATTGCTAGAGCTTAAAGAAATGAGAGATTTTTTTAGATGGTTGGAGAGAGATGCGGTATTTAATCTTAGTTCTCATCAATTAGGCAATAAACCTACTTTGATTATAAGCAAGGCCAAGGCAAATAGCCATGATGTATTTTTATTCATTCTTTACATTTTTTTGAGGATATATAGTGTGTTATTTACCTGACTATAGACTAGAGACACTGATTCCAAAATAGTGATGACCATTATAACCATGTTTGTGTTCAGCCTTCTCGTATCAGTGCCTGAACTGGTTGTTTAACAAGATGAGTTACTAATATAACATTTCCCTCTTAGCAAAATCAGGGATTTATTCATCCATTTAGTCTTATTTACTTCTGAGGTGATGCAGAGAGTGCCTGGCACATAGTAGGAGCTCACAGCATATTAGTTAACTGAATGAATGAATGCAAGTGGCTCTTGGTCACAGTGCCATCATTAGAAAAACAACAGTTCAGTGAAGGAAACAGTTCTATTTCTTGTTAGCGAAATATGTCCACAACTCAGAAACGTTGTAGGAGAACATGTTTGTCTTTTTTCACTTGGGGCTTGCTTCCAGCAAGTGCTAGAGAGCCTTTCACAAAAATACTTTTGTTCTGCAAATAGTAAGTTTACTTCTGTTTCTTATGCCCTGTACTGGGGAGTCAGAACTGTCTCTCACATGTTTGGTTCAAGAGCAGATCTCATCAGTCAAAATATGGGCTTTTACAATAAATGTTTAAAGTAGGGAAAGAAGGGCATTGGACTCAGGGCATTCTCTAGTGGCTCATTACAAAAGCACTTTGAATTCTGTGAAGTGTGAGGTGATTTCTTCTCTTCTATGATTAGAATTCTCTCTAACACTCACGTTTCATTAACTGGGGG